CACTCTGCAAAAAGGAATTTAACAGTGTAATTTAACTAGTCTCAGCCCAAATAAAAATCTAGTTGCTACTTCAGCCAGTGTTTTACCTGCACAATTACTCTTAATTTACTCTACTTCTGGGCACAGGTTACAACCCTCAAATCAGCATTCACCTCAAAACAAAAACAAAAGAACCCTTCACTGTTTCTGAGCACACAAGAACCTTTACTCCCTCCCTAAAGGATGAACACTGAGCACTGTATGAAAAACAGCTGAGATGTTCCAGTGCAGCCTGCTCACTGCAAGGGAGCAAAGGAGGAAACCAGCTATTCCTACCGCTTTCAGATTGAGCTTGTATTGATTTCTGTAAGACTGAAATATGTCAGAGCAACATCTCTGAATTATCAGATTATAGAGCAGTGAATCTGCAATCAGCCCAAGGCTTTCCAGCAAGCAGGGAAAATCTAAGTTTTATGATCCCAAAACATCAGTCTGACAGCAATATAACACAATCTGGAAAGGAAGGGTCAGCAGCATTCCAGGAAGATGCTTATTTCTCCCAGCACCTCCCCTTCAGGCACGTATTTCTTCCAGGGAAGGGTTAAGAGATGGCACAGAATCTCATAATTTTGGTTTTGTCTCTGGGCAACATCCCCCAAGCCCCTTTTAGACCTAACAAGTCCAGCCCTCCTACCACTGCGCCCACCCTTCTCAGGGACCCCAGGGACTTTACAACATCTGCCAGCAACAGGGGAGTATAGGCAGATCAGTTTGTATCAATTCCTCATACAGCTTTTTTATTATGACCCCTCACCACCACCTCATAAGCTCCAAAACCAAGCCCATTCTTAAGAGGTAGTAAGAAGTTTCAGATTTTGTACTTTTTACAATGAGGATGGTAGAATACTAGAACAGGTTGCCCAGAGAGATGGTGGATGCTCTATCCCTGGAAACATCCAAGGCATGGATGTAGTTCTGGTCACCCTGATCTAGTTGAAGATGCAGGGGGATTAGACTAGATGACCTCTGAAGGTCTCTTCCAACCAAAAGTGTTCTATGATTCTATTGTAACAGTGTATTAGTACCACAGTTTGCTGTGGATGCATTCTTACTTATCTCAGACTTGAAGGTAAAGTACATACTGTCTTGACTCTCCGGTCACCTGTTTCTTTCCTCCACAGAAAGTACACTTTGATATGAGTGCCTCACTCGCCAACAGGCAAGCTTCCCACATTTAATCAGTCACTTCCATTGATTTTTTTTATATAATCTTACTTGTCAGTAGCCAACTATTAGGAACAAGCTGCATTCTCCTCTTCACAACAGAGAACAGATGCCAAATTCTCACAGGTTTAGAAATCCACCGAAACGGCTGGATTTCTTTGCATTCTTACCACTTTTAAAGATGCATTAAAATCTGAGATAAGGAATCCTGAGCTATTCACAAGCAAGCCCTGGAACTGAGTGCAGAGTGCTGGTCAGTGAACCACAGTTATGAGGAACACCTACAGCTAAAACATTAACAAAGTACAAAGTTCCCAGGCCAGCTGTTCAAACAAGGATGTTTCCTCCAAATATTAGTAAGCTGTATTTAAAGCCACCTGCTCAGGTTTGCAGGGGTGTCAGCACAGGTACTTCTTTGAATGGGGAGGAAAACTAAGGAGTTGAAATACAAGGATTAAAAATGTTTTACATAAGCCAGTTATTTTGATTCTTAGCTACTGAGGCAAGACAGCAGTGTTAATTCCCCAGCCTGTGTATTGAGGGTGCTGCGGGTCTGAACACTGTACTGCCAAGACGTGGGTCACAGTAGGTACCACCATTTCTTGACCCAAAGCTAGACAACCCCTGCTCACAGCAAACCACATAAGGCTGGTATCAGCTCCAAGACTAGCAGCAAGTCTGTAAAGAAACCAAGTATGTGGGGTCAGACCCAGCACAGGCCACCGACAGAAATACAGGGGAACTGAAGCCAGCAGCCCTGAACCTTAGTGCAGATTGTCCTTAGACCAGACAATTAGACAGGAATTTAGTCCATTCTCTGTATACCTGAATAGGAAAACCAAGTCCATGCAGGCCAGCTCTAAGACTTAGGTTTCTTGCAATAGTAAAATAAACATCAGATCATTACTACCATATCTAGAAAAGAGAAACAATGTAAAATTACACTAGTTCCCTCCTCTAGGGAGCAGAGCAAGGGTAAGGAAAGCTGAAACAATTCAGCAGGTAAGTTCTTTTAACTAGCAAAATAAATTATTTTAACCACCACTACTATTTTGAGGCTACATAATGCACCATACACCAGCCTCAGGTAATTAAAAGCTTTCTGGCAGTAAATACCCTCATACAGACATAGCAGTCTAACAGTCTTCCATTATATAAACCAAGATTTTTCCTGTGGATCAAGCCACTTTATCAGAAAAATGCTTAGCAGAAAGCAAGTCACAGATATAAAGTTATCTGGGTGAGGGAAGGGCTCAAAGTCGTGTTTCATTTTCACTGTACCCCATCCTTATTTTCCCCACTCATTTCACAGTGGCTTCAAGCTTTCCCAGGCTACAGCATTCCACAGACTGAATTCTTATATAAGAGCTTTCTCCAGAACTAAGCCACCAAGCAAGGCTCATCAACCACTTAAACAAAACAGACTTGTATTCACCTGAAATTCTATTTACAAGTCTATTAAAGATATAGAATTTAAGAAGTAGTGACATTCAAGAAACATCACAATACTTTGCAAACATTTTTAAGGGTACTGAAATAGGAAGAATATGGTCATTAACATCAATTGCAAGAAAGTCTTTCCACAGAGCCAGGAAACATCCCTACTCATCATGCTGCTCCCCAATTTATTTTTAAGGAGTTTTACACTCCATCCTAACTTCCCAATACAGCATTTCAGTTAGCTGGCATTATCTTTGAAAGCAGTATAAATATCTGGATTTCAGAACACCATGTCTGTCTGATAAATGTAACTGATTTTTAAGAGTTTCCACAATCTGCCTGAATTGTATAATTGCATGCAGCTGAACTTAATTTAGAACTAATCTAAATAACAGCCTTTCTTCCCACATGACACACCTAAAGATGTATTTAGGCATTATCTGATACAGATTACAACTGCTGCCACGCTCAGATTTAAGTAGTCACATGTTTCTGAAACAACACTCCCCCCTTTTCAGCCACTTTCAGAGAAGCAGTTTCAAGATTCTGATGTGCCACAATGAAGAGTAATTTTAGTGGTATGTGGCAGACTAAACACAGCTACTGTACACACATAAACATGCATCATTTAGTTTGCAATAAGCTTAACACTTAAGTCACACAGGACTCCAGATTCAAACCCAGAACTAATCCTTTTTCCACCTGACAATGATTAAGCAATTATAAGACTTTACTTACAATGAGGTCAAAATCTTCAGTGTTTGTTTACTCCTATAAGGAAACAGGCATTACTGGTTCATTTCTAGGCTTCCAACACACAAATTAGTAGAGCTACTCAGTTTACTCTGTAGTAACTTGGCAATCCACAGAAGTTTCTCCCACAGGTGGCAACCTGCAGCAGAAGCTACTTATGGCTTAGAATTAGGGCCAAAATTAAGGCAGAAGAACAAAAAAACCAGCCAGTGGAGTCCAGGCTACTAAGATCCAAAAGGAACATAGTTTAGAAGACTGTACAGGCTAGGCTCCACACCAGAAATGCAGTCTGTCTGAACTGTGTTCTTCACAGCAAGTTATCTTGCTCATAGCACACACAGTACAACGGTGGCATGGTAAGGGGAAGAGTCATGCTTCCCCTTCTCATCAGAGCATTTCTTCATAATTTTTTCAAGCTACTTTAACATTAGAAAACCACAAACATCAATGCATATGCAGCAGCGTATGCTATGTCATGCAAGTTCTCTTTCCAGAAGTCCACATTGGCAAAGATGCCTCATTGTGCTCGAGACAACACAATTTACTCTGTAGCCTTCAACACCATAAAGTCTGGTCTTCTAGGCAGCTCAGATGTACATATAAGCATGGCCTGCTATCCACCACTAACCATAATACCGTGCTTCAACACACTCACAAGACTGTCTATGAGGCATCATTTGGGCCACCAAGGAACCGGTGTGTTTCCTACACTTCGCGATGTTCAATTGCTAACTGCAGGCATTCTCAGTGCACACCAGCCCTCCCCAAACACCCCGTTAGAGAGGGAGGATGCGGTAAGCTCTCTCCCAGCGCTGCACTATAGGGTCTGGTCGGAACTCGACCGCACTGATCCCGTGTACCCAACCTGGCGTTACGTGAAGGGCAACACTACATAGCACTTCTGTAGAGGAGTGAGACAGAAGGCGGCCGCCAATGAGACCGCGGGTACCGTCCGGTGCCGTCTGGGGTCGCGGCCAGAGGTGCCGCCAGGCCGAAGAGCCAGCGGGAGCCGAACACCGCCGCCCCGCCCCGCCGCTCCGTCCCGGGCGCAGGCCGCGGCAAAGCCACTGCCACAGCACGGCGGGCAGGCCGCAACCGAGCCTGCCTGTCACGGAGGGGCGGAGAGGCACCTACGAGACCTCCCTGAGGCCGGGCGGCAGCTTCCCAGAGCAGGTCCCGTAACCGGTGCCGCAGGAAGGCATTCAGTCGCCGGACACCGAGCCGGGGCGCCCGAGGAGGGAGCCCTACTTACACCGATAACATCTCCTCCCTTCCTGCCAGCCGCGGAGCGCCGCTGCTGGCCCACCTCCCCCAACCGCTCCGCGAGCCGGCCAAGCCCTACCGGAATCCAGGGCGGGCCCGGCGCGGCGGTAACAGCGCACGAAGCCAATGACCAGGCGCTGACGGGGAACGAGCGTGGAGCCCGGCGGCCGCGGCGCAATTGAAACCCAGGCTGGGGCGGAGCCTGGGAAGCCTTATAGGGCAGGGCCGGGCCAGCGCGAGCCCGGAGCAGCGAGCAGTCCCCGCGCGGTAGCATGTGACGCCGCAGGCTTCTAGCTAGGGTGAGCTGAACGCGAGTGTCGGCGGTCGGGGACAGACAGAGAGAGAAACAGCGAGACAGCCTCAGCCAGCCGTCGGCTGCCGCCCTCGAGAGCCTTGCTTTCTTTTGATCTGATTTTTCTTCTCTCTCCTCAGTGTTCGGAGCTTTTCAAAGAGCGGCGCCCCATCTACGGGATCCCCGTTTCAGCGCGGTGAGGAATGATCCGCACCGCTTCCCCGGCACACTGGCAGTAGCGGGCTGGAAGCGATGCTGCCTGTCCCTCGGGGCTCCTCGCAGCCCGCCAGAGCTCCCGCAGACGTCGGAGCCGCCTGAGCAGCCGGCGAGGAAGCGAGGCGGGCGAGAGGGTGCTGAATGCAGCGCGACCTGAAGCCACTGCCTGCCATGTGTGCTGGTAGCATCCGGCTTTGGCAGCTCCCTGGTCCCGGTACCGGGTAGTCGGGCGGAGCAGAAGCAGGGCAGACCGGCGGGGAGGCAGCCGCCGCCGGGATCATGGTGAAGGAAGAGTGCAAAGCGTTGCTGGACGCGCTCAACAAGGTGACCGCCTGCTACCGGCACATGGTGCTGACCATCGGCGGTACCTCGGACTCTCAGAACCTGCGCGAAGAGCTCAAGAAGACCCGGCAGAAAGCCCAGGAGCTAGCGGTGGCCAACAGGAACAAGCTCACCACGGTCCTGAAGGACAAAACCGTGAGTAAGGAAGATAAAGCTGAGTTCGAGAGGCTATGGGTGATTTTCTCCACGTGCCTAGAGATCCTGGAGATCGACATGAGGAGAGCCCTGGAGCTGGGCCACGAGTTCCCACTGAACGTCCCCAAAAAGCACCTGATCCAAACAGGCATGAGTGGGGGAACCTCTGGCGTGGCTGCCAGGGCCATGAGCGTCCAGAACATGAAATATGAGGCCGAGCACAATATAGACGTGGTGGATTTGAAAGACCTCGAAAATGAGATTAACCAGGTAGGAGAGATGATGTACGAGATGGAAATGAAGGTCAATGTCCCCCAGTGGACAGTAGAGGCTAAGCAAGACCCGGGAGCCGAACTAAAATCCACCATCAGCGTCGGCGCATCTTCTATTGGCATGATCTCCGTGGAGGAAAATAAATCCTTCTGTGATATCAGCAAGGTTCTAGCTGGGATTATTTTCTCTGCAGTGCTCATTATCGCTATTGTCCTGGCTGTGTGTGTGGTGAAACTCTCTTAGGGTGGTGTGGGGCTGACCACAGTGACCCTGTCAGTCTTTCACACCTCACCTTTCATCTCAGAATGGGTCACTTGGATGAGCTGAGAATTTAAATGTAGCACTTTGAAAAACAAAGCAGAACTGCCTCTCAGTATCATAAAATGCACGGTTTCTTCTTACTATTTGAAGAGATGCACATCAGCCTGCAGCATAGGGTGATGTCTTCATGTGTTGGACTTGTAACGGTTAACTGTGAAGTATCAGGGTATTACCACTGCTGGCTATGGCAGGGATTTGTCTGCTATTAATAGATGGCTATTCGCAGAAGCCTGTATTTGAAGAAGGCTCTAGCGTTTGCTACTGGTCACTGTTTACAGTACTGGAGAGTAACAAGAATTCAGAGGCTAATGCAGGTGTTTTGTAACAAAATGAATATACTAAAGGGGATTTAATCATACATACAAAATACTATTCTGGTGGAGGAAAAGGGGAAGGATGAAAACCTTGAAAAAGCATGTGAACAACCTCTATTTTGGATTTTATAATGGTTGGAGGGGAGGGGGGAAGGAGGGAAAAAACAGCCCAAGCTGTGTTTGATACCAAACTCTGCTGAACTAGACTGGGTTGTACAGACCCTGGTGCATGGACTGGTATTGCGTACATGAATGACTAATCACTTCCCAATTTTTCCCAGGGAGAAAAAAGAGAGAGTTGCATATTCAGAAAAATCCTAGGAAGAGTGCTCATCCACATGTACCATGAGTTTGTCTTCCCCTACAGAAAGGCAACTGGTTCCAACTTTTCTTTTTGTAGAAGTTAATGGTTTGCACCTCACAATTAACTATGGAAATAGGAGCAATGAATCTGCCCACAACAGAGGTGGTCATTTTTGAAAATAGATTTTAGAAGGAAAAAAAAAAAGTTGACTTAAAGCAGACCTTTCTATAATGCAGAGGGATCCTCTCTCAGGTTGGCAGGCAGGGATTGATACCTGTTCATGGACTGTCACATTTCTGCAAGTTCCTGAATTCTTTGCAGAAAACCAGAGATAGATGAAAATGCATCTCAGTTTCCTGCCTCACTCTTGTCTGATTAACCTGGGAAGCAGGGAGCCTTTAGGACTGGTCCAGCTTGATACATGGCAATTTTGGCGGGTAAATGTAAGAGCATAATAAAATTTTCCAGTGCTTCCTTACGGAATTGTCAACATTTATGTGTAAAGCTGGGGGGACAGACACTAACTTTGCAGACAAGCTTCATGTTTTTGTAAAAGGAGCCATGTTTGATGGTGTTTCTTGTATAACTTTATGGAAATACCTCCTGTTACTGTGAACACACACCACCTGATCAAGAAAGCGTGGTTCATACTTTCTAGTGCCATAGGTGTATGAAGCACTCCATGGCCGAATACAAAGGCCCTCTAATATTGGGGATTAGTAATTTATTATTCCTCTGCAGTGATTATTATGGGCACATTATTAAATAGTAGCAACCAGACACGTTTTGTGAAGTTACTAGACAATAGTCTTGATGCTTGTGAAATAAAATGATGTGGACAACACTCAGAAACAGCTAGTATTTTTAAGTTCAGAACTAAACATAATTTGAAAAACTTCAGCAAGCAGTTTATTCTTTAAAACTTAAGAGAACTGGATATGGGGAGAAAAAGCATGTGACAAATTTTAATCTGGTCATTTTGCAGGTGAGAAAGAAAATCATACAGGAGAGAAAAGACCGTAGGTGGAGGCCTGAATTACAGGCTAGAGACTATCATTACGCTGAAGGATATTGCAAGTTCCAACCTTTCTACTGTATTTCACTCCATGTGAAATACATGTATTTCATTTCATAGGATGGGGTTTCTACATGGTTAATCAAGGTCCTCAGACATCCCTGGCAGCATTCTAAGAAAATCAGGCCTGTACTTATTGGTGCTACTGCTTCAATCTGTCTAGACAAGGTGTAATTGTTGTGTGTTGATTTAAATGAGATCATCTCCTTCACAGTCATCCTGACTAAACAAATTCATGGAAAATACAGCAAAAGCTGCAGGAGAACGTACAGATTTGGAGTGCCACTGCTAATCCTTGAGGATCTGTGGGCATTTGAACTCTGCACTCTGCTTTTATTTAGTTCAGAGGAAGGTGGTCAAGAAGTTGGACTCTGTTCTGTGCTTCTGGAAAGCTCCATGTTCCTTCTGAAATCAGATCGCTTAACCGCATGTTCTGAAAACCCAAGTAACGCAAGTCTGGTTTCTGGTGGATTAGTAAATGGTAACACCTACCTAGTGTTCATTACCATATATCTTGGTGTCCTGAAGTGGGTACAGTGTCTATTCATGGTTAGTTGTGTAGAATCTTTAAGAACAGGTAATCTCATCTTCCAAAGTAAGCTTCAGCAAGTCAGTGAATTGTAAATTTTCAGTCAGTTGCAATTTTTTGAATTTGGATTTTTGGATACAGGACTCAAAGAATTCAGGTATGTAGCCTGTAACTATGTGTCTTGCTTCATTATGAATATGCAAACAATTAGTATTTAAAGGACTGGACCTTGGAAAGATAATGTCCTTTCAAATCTTAAGTAAAAGCTGGCTGCAGATTTATTCATTAGTTTGTTCCTAAAAATCTGTATCATCTTATCTTTAGACTATCTAAAATTAATAGATTAAGTCGAATTCTAACAGGATTGGCACTATCTAAATGGATCATGTTCCTGCCACTGATCTCCTACTCTCCTACACTAGATAACAAGTGTACGCTCCATGTGACAGAAGTCAGGCACAACAGTGCACAACACCAAACCAAGATGAAACCACCACTGACCAAAAGTACTGATGCTTCTTCCAAATTAAGAAATAAAGCAATGTTGTAGATTTTCAGTCTTCATTTCTTCCAGCCACTGGAATACAACTGGAAGGAGACTGGAAATGCGATTTTTGTCAGTGAAAAATGGGAGGTCAAACTTAAAAATACTCTAAATAGTATGACATGCAAACACTCATGCTCATCAGTGAATGAGAATGTTACTGTGCTTTTAGTACAGAAGAAAATGGTTATTGCTTCATTTCAGTGTTGTTCTACTTCAGTCCTTTTGTCTTTATTCACAGGATATACACATTAAATTTGCTGTATACTAAAATATTCCTGACTTGAATTATACTAGTTTTGCCTGTGCATGGGTGGTGTTTTCTACACTTTGAATAGTTCAAATTTGTTAATGTCACTATTTATTTAACTTAAAATAAAGTATGTTCTTATGAGTTACTTGTTGGCTTGCAGCAGTAATTAAAACCTACAATATTAATACAGCTTTTGTCAGTAAGCTTTTCTAAACAAAACATCCTTATTTCAATCACAGGAATAAAAGTAACTCTCATTACAGTTCTCTTTATATAAATGCACCCTTCTCAGGCTCCCACAGTTCAATATAGTGATATATCTTAATTTTATTCCAAAATTTCCAGTCTATTACCATGAAGCCCCTCTACACTGTTTTTCAGTTTATTAAGAAAATGACGAGAGAACCATAATTAACGTGATTCTCCTTACGTTTCAAATAATGTAACATCAAACTTCACATTATGTGAAATAAATTAGTTTCAAAATTCATGTAAATATGAAAATATTTTTATGTGAATGCAATTATATAAAAACAATGACTGATGTTACTAGTTTTCAGATTAAAAATTAAATATGCTTATTGTCTTTAGTTTGGAAGGATTCATTATGGGCTTTCTTGTCCTTCTCTTATAGTGTTTAGTATTATGTACATTTTCCATAAATATCTTGTTTCTAAGTGCTAATGGAACTCCTAGTCAACATATTTACCCTTGACAGATTCTCATTATGTAAAAAGTCATTCAGTAAGACCAGTGGATTACAGGTCTCTAAATGCTTTCTCTCAATACGATTATGTAAGTCTTTTAATGCAGGAAGAGATCTGGACAAAACAGAAGTCTACACATGAGCAGCATTTGCTGTGGTAAGCATGCAGTAAGAGTGGGATTAGAAAATTATGTCTTTCGTATAAAACTGTCTCACGTTGAGGGAAGGACAAGAAAGGAAGGAGATGGATGGATGGATGGATGGATGGATGGATGGATGGATGGATGGATGGATAAATATGTCTTCATGTTAGTAAAGCATGCTTTCTGCTAAATACAATAGCTTTTCAAGGTTAAACTATAGCTTCTCTGGAAGAAGGTAGTATTTTATATCCGGTGGGACAAAGAATATAAAATATCCCTGAGTGGAACTCACCACCCATTTTCTGATTAACTCCATGCAGAATAAGACTAAAAATATTTTGATTTGCTACATGTTACTATCAATTTTACAAGACAACCCTTTTGTCTCTCTGTTTCACATTACACATAAATTTCTATTGGAAGAAGGTGGTCCCACAAGGATGGACCTTGTCATCCATCCTGACAACTTGCTGCTGCAGTTGGAAACAGTGGTGAAACCTGTGAACAGGTGGAAAGTCACATAGCCTTTTGCCAGCCTGGAGGCTCTGCTGCATCTTTTCATGCAGCCAAGCACAAGCATTTCATGCTGGAAGAAACGAGCCTAGAAGCCATGCAGGCAAACACAAATGAAATTACATGATCCCTGAAAATCTCTCACCCACAGACACTAGGTAGCAAAAGCAACTTACTGCTCTGTTGCAGTAATTTTGTCATAGTATCTCCTACGTTTTCTCTCAGCATCAGAAATTTGACTTCTGAAGCCTCCACAGTGTCAGGTGTGTTGGGTTGGTTTGTTTTGTTTGATTGGACTCTGTGTTTTGTTTTATTTACGTGGTATTGCATGGCATTATTTATCATATTCTTACTAATAACATCTCTACCAAATCGAACAAAATAATCCTCTAAAAGCCAATTCTAATTTAAGTACAAAGAAATGGAGCAACAATCATACTACAAATGTTTCGGTCTATCATTTTGGTCAGTTTTCCAGTATGTATTAAAACAATCACTGAAGCCTGTGATCAGTCAAGCCTGTCTTCTGCAAACAAATGTTCAAAGAACATGTACAGTCAAACTCATTGATGTGTCCCAGCATTAAGAAATTACATAGCCTAAAGCATGTCTAAGAAAACCATGAGGGTTTTGTAAGAATGGCAAATGTTGGGTGATGCAGCCACATGTAATTGTCCTGAGGAGAGGAAAAAAAAAAAACAAAAAAAACTTCAAATGCAATTCATCCAGAAGAATTTATATATAAGTTACATAAACAAGTAAGAAAGGTGGAACTGAGAAAAGAAGACAAAAGAAAACATTTAACTATTTATACCATATAAAATGACTGTGGAGTAACTGACACACCAAACATGATACTCCCTTAGCAACTTAATCTGATATGCTAATTGCATGTGTAACTTTATATATAAATATACACTTGAGCTTTAGGTCCTAGAGGGAGTGGTCTGATTAATTACTCATATAAGCCATCACTACTCAGTATAGTGAGAAATTACATGTGTGAAAACTATCCATGTAATTAAAAGCTGCAGAATTAGAACCATAATTACATGCATAAGACATGTAATCCATTATGTGTCTGCTGGCAGCAAAACATTTCCAGTTAATACTATCTGTAACCTAGTTTTCTGATCTGCTTTGATTTCCTGGAATATTGTTTTGTATGAAGGTAGCTGTATTTTTATTTTTCTTTGTAGTCAGATCTATATAATAGTGCTATAATAATAAACCCGCATTTCCTAGATGTTACATTTATTCACATTTTGGACATAATACTTGGAAAACTATACAGTAAATTTATTTATATTTATATTATTTGTTAAGTCTGCCTATTTCTTGGTACTGTATGAACTAAACAATTTGAAAGCTTTAGAATGTCATTTTGAAATAAGCCAGTTTAAGAAGCAGCAGACATGCTCAGTAAAATCTATTATTTTTTTTACATTTGAGGTTCTAACAATTTGTTCAATAATACAGCAGACACTATCTCTGCATGGGAACAAAGCTTTTACCAGATGCATATAAATTAAACCAAGACTGACTGAGTATAATCATCTCCAACTCACAGGATAGCATGTGAGCCAAATAATAGTAGACCCTGGTTTTCACCTGTAAATAATTATTAGTGATGTGAGCTGCAATTTATGCAATGAAGCGACAAAAAGGAATTAAGTCACTCTATTGCTAAGTATTCTAATCACACATACACCAAAAAAAAACCCCAGAAAGCTAATTTTACAATCAATTCTATATATCTAGTGACCTTAAATCTTTTTTCTTTAAGCAAACTAATGTTTTCTTTTTTTCATTAGCAGTAACTGAACTGGAGAGAAAAACATTGCAGTAACTTCCCTATTACTGAAATATTACCTCACAATGAATCATTATCAGTGCCATAATTTTATGGCATTTTATTTAATGTCACTTTTGCATCGCTTCAGAAGGGCTTATTTTTCAACACAGCACAATCTGTGTTTGAAAACAACCTGGAATACAAAAGTATTTGGAGTCCCTTAGGTTAACAATTGTCTATTCTGGCATACCAGCAGCAGAAAAGGCAATTGAATCCTTAATTTTTTAGCAAAAACATATTTTTTTTTCCCCATTTAATCTGAAGGGGACCTCTGAGGACCCAGTCTTCTCTTACATCTTACTGTCACACCTATCTCTAGCTAATTCTTGCTATGGGAAGACTGTTCTCTGAACTAAAGCCTCCTGTATTCCCAGCCTCCATCCTGGCCCTTGAGGCATAATGCTGGGGCCCAGCTGAATGCAGAATGCCCTTGTGCTGAATGCTCACATTACAGTAA